CCAAAAATAATCGAAGCCTAAAAAATCAATCCCATATCTAAAGAATAAATCAAAACAGTAGGATTGGAGAGAAGAAGCACAAATCACCAGCTATGATATATACCTTTGCCACAACTATAAGTGTAGCAGATGCCAAGCCTCTATCACCAGCTCGAAGATCAGCTTCTAAAACTCTCCCAAGAGGTCCTGCTGCAGCACTGCAACCAGCTCCAAGAGAAAAAGCATAAGACTACAGAATGTTTTCACAGCTTTAAAGTCATGTAGCACAAATATAAAGTCCATAAGCTCACCCCCAACATACAAGAACAAAAGAAAATAAGTCATCTCATTTTGGACAAGAAACATACAAAGCCTAATCAAGATGATTTTGCACGTGATATTAGTGTAAAATCACATGTGGCAAGGTCGTGCAAATCACACGTGATTTTGGACGTGATATTAGTGTAAAATCACATGTGATATTCTCTTATTTTTTAAATAGGTATCATTCCTGTATGAACCCGACTTTCTCTCCCTCTATGTGTGTGTGTGTGTATATACATATATATATATATACATATATATATATATATATATATACAGTTCTGGTTGTGAACCGGTTTGTATTTTGAATGGCTTAACTGGTTGGGTCGACAGGTTAATTGGACCGATCAGTTTAGGCCATAACCAGGTAAGGTCCAGGCCCAATTCAGTTAACCCGGACTGATCACGAATCCAGTTCAAGTAACCAGTGGTAGGGTTAGGTCTCGAGTCCTATGTTGGTCTTAACTATCATTAACCCTCGAACTGGTCCTCCAACCAGTCAACCAGAGGGAGATGGTTGGTTTGGCAGGTCCTAATTGAGATGAACCTAGAATGTCCTCCTTTTCAATAGACGAATGAGCACACCTGCTTGACATACATCAAAGTTATCAACATTAAACTGTTTTATACCAAAACCAAGAATCATGATGTATAAATATACAAAATGCCAAACCAAATGAACATAATATATTCCACCAAACAGTAGCGTCTGTAAAGGATGAGGTGTACTATTAGCGTCTRTAAAGAATCTGTTCCATGGAAAAATACCTTAAGATCCCTTGTAAGATWTGTATGGTAGAACATCAYTGCAYCGTTTTGGGTTGAAGAACACATGCTGAAAACATCAAAAGTTAGTCCAAATTCACCAGACTTATAATCAAGAAACTTTATATTTATGGAACCTAAAACATCCCACCTTAATTTGTGTCCGGTTATACGTATATGTTATATGCACACATCCATAGCTTGTTTTGATAACTGCTGGATACGAGAATTCCATTCCTTCAGTCTTCTCCAATGTTGCAACATCTTTCCACGAATCTCCATCATCTGCTGAAATCGCAACTTTTAGCACGGCCCTAGAGACCGTGTTATAAGCAAGCATCACTCGACCATCACTTAGCTTTACGCCATCAATGCCTGTTAGTTCACCATGAACGAAAACCATTCAACCGGAATTCGTAATTGTAGCACACTATAGTGTTGTTTTGGTATTTTTACAGATAAGATGGTTAGTTTGCAACAAGAAAAACAAATATAATGGTTTAAAAGTTCGATCAGTCATCTAGTTTATGTTGTTGAACCTGAATCTGGGTTGGGTAATAACAAGCAACTTATCTTCGACCTAAAGTATTGAGGGGTGATTCCAACGCACAGCCCCACCGAGGAACAATACATGATCAAAGTTGATGAGCTAGAGTTTCTGATATGTATGAGAAAGCCAAGTATTTGTGTTTCCCATCTAATGCCAATTCATTTGGTGTATTCTGCTAGCTCAATTTASTGTTGACAACTTCCCTCATGCTAATATCAGCGGACTTCTACCGAACAAACATAAAACAGAAAAGTTGGGTGTTCATATGAAATCAAAACAAATAAATTATCGAACCACAAGCTATCAATCATAAACAAACTAAAATACGTAAATGGAAACCCTAATAAGCTAAGGTTGGAAATACATAAAACAAAAAAGTTGGATAGAAAAATATATTCTATCGATTAGCACATAAAAAGGTTGGAAATCAAAAAAATTACCTGTGTGTTCTTCTGAAATTGATGATCTGTGACACTTGAGACATGAAATTGGGGAGAATACAAAGTCTCTTGATTTATGCTCAATATGCCTCTCGAATATATTTGTGACACACTTGAGACATGAAAATGGGGAGAATAAAAAGCTGATTGATGAAAGAACCCTCTTTGACCTCCCGATTTTGATGATGGAGAGGTTAAAGGTTTGATAAAAAGCCATTAAAGCTGAAAATAGGAAAGTTCCTATTTGATTGTGGGTTTAAAGTTATTGCAATATCGAGTTCTACATTATGTTTCAAGTATTCTAAGTAAGAGAGAAAGCATGAGGGAGAAGATCATACCTGATATGGTGATAAATCTTGAGGAGGCAATCTATAGGAGAAGATGGAGAAGACGGAGATTAAAGCAATAATGGTACGATAAGAGAACCCTAACTCTATATACTGAGAAGATGATTTGAATCTGAAATCGTAATCTTAGGGATTCAATCGTCTTCTGGCAAGATGGTTTGGGAATAACGACCTTGGGGAATGAAAAGACAATAGGAGGGAAAGCGGTATTGGGGAGAGGGAAAATAAGAAGTGCATTGATAGACTAAACCTGAAGTTGTACATATTGCTTCTTGACTTGTAATTAAGACATATAAGGGTATTTTGGGTATTAAAATTTTTAAGACTTTAAGACTTTGAGTAAATTTGTTTAATAAGGTAGTATAGATGAACATACATAGTATCTATGTTTAAGTAGGACGTTACGGTGATTTGTGTATTATTTTGCAAACATTGTTTCTTCCTAAAGATAATCTCTTTACTTTTTGAAATATTAAAAGGTTATATGGATCTTATTCTATCTAAGACCTAAACAAGCGTATATTTATTGGATTTGTTTGTTATTTCTCAAGAAAAACTTATTTTGTTTTTAAAATATATTTTATTTTCATTATCGTAATTATATAGTTTATTGTAATTACTATATTTACAATAAAAATTCGTCTACACAAGAATTAAGTGTTCTTAATTAATAAAAATTTAAATATATGCATCAAAATGAATGAAAATGAAATAGAGAAATGGAAAAAGTTT